GAAATATCTAATAGCTTTAAAAAACCTCGTAATGGTAAAGTTTTAATTATTTGTTTAATTCGATCCGATTGAAAGTTATTTGTATCGATGAAGTTGAAGATGGAGTGAAAGTAGGGATCTCAATATGTGTCTACCTTTCATTTAGTTTATGCGTAAATTAAGTGGTAAGTAATTTATATTTATTGTAAATATAAATTATTTCGTTACAAAGTTTATATTACAAATCAATATGAATTCTAATAATTTACAACGATTTGTAAATATAAATTTTGCAACAAAATAATTTACATTTATAATAAATATAAATTTCTTACAATTCATATTTATTATAAGGTAAACGGTAAATGACGCCCCAAAGTAAAAGTGATTTATTATGATAATAATGATATTGTTTCCGAGTTCAGTGCTGAAAAATATTTATCAACATGTTGTTTAAAACATTTTTCACCACTCATCGTATTGTAAACTTGATTACTAGTACATTTGAAACCACTATGAAATTCAGGAATTCTTTCTAACTGATGATTACTTAATTATACTGAATAACCAAATACTCTTCACCATCTAACAGCAGGTGAAGATCCGTTCTTTATTATTTGATATTTCGATCTTTCAGTCAGTAATCGATATTTAATCGTTGCAGTATCGAATGAACTCATAATATATGACGGCAGATTAAAATATCGAAGATAGAAAACTCAATGAAATAATTGAAACTAGAAAATTTAACTAAAAAATTTGAAGAAACTGGAACATTGGCATGTTTTTAAACTTTTATATGAAGTATGCTGTACAAAACTACGGTCATTTATGAAACTATTTGGAAGAGGAATATATGAATATACTTAACAAAAAAACTGAATTTTTCTCTTATATAATTCTGCATCATTGTGAAATGCTTTTTCTTTCCTCTTCAAATCATCTGTATGTTTCTATGCGAAATATAAATGGATTATATGATATCCAATATAATAATTAAAAATTGTTCCAACTAGGTACAATGCCAAAAGTTATGATAGTCAGTTTATTGCGATATCAATTACAATTGCTCATAATATCAACATATCAAAATTATTTACTAGAAAATCTGTTTCAAATAACTGTCTCGAGAAAAAAGAATAACAGGGCAAAAATATTTTGCCCTGCCCTGCCCTGGCACGCCCTGCAGGGCAGGGCGAAAAATAAAAAAACTTGCCCTGCCCTGCCCTGTGACGGTCTCTGGTATGTGCTTTACTTGCCAGAAATAGCTATTCACATGACCCGGTTTTCTCGTAATAACTGATGACCGGGGGGGGGAGCGGGTAGCGCCGCGAAGATCCCTGTACTCAGGGATGCCAGATCAAAATCTTACAAATCGGAATTCATTTGCCTGAATTCGGAAAATTTCGGAAAAAATATCTGACTAATTCGGAAAAAAATTCGGAAAGTAGTGGTTTCAAGCTTTTTGACGCTCAAGTTGATTTTTTAGTAAAAAAAAGCTTTCGCAGTTTGGTTATCCTCTCTGTAAATATATTTCATCAACATTAAAACAAATATATTAAATGTAGTATTATTAGAAAATATCATTTTCAAGAAGAGACAGTTAATACACGAAAAAAGAACTCAAAATAAACTGTCTATACATGTATGTATATCTACAATTCAAAACATTTATTGAAAAAGAAACTAAAGTTCATTTACTAAGACGTTTTTCGAACAAACTTTTCATTTTAGGCTATTTTTTTCAATAGTTCCTCTGGAGTAAACGAAAGTGATAAACATTTGTACAAGGAATATCGGAATTATTTCTGATTAATAACTCAGATTTCATCAATTCGATATCCATTCAATTTCGATAATCAGATCATAAGTTAATCATGTGACTGAATATTGATTCAAGAAAAGAACTGCTACATGGAATAGAAAATACATAGGTAACAATTAGTTTCAAACTCGGTACTGTCTTTGGGTCAATATTTAAAAAATATGAACATAAGTGATCAAATTGAACGCATTCATTTGCTCTTGCACCAATATTCAACAATCTTTCTAAAATATAACCATTAAAAAGTAAAACAATATCCTTATTGTTATTTAGATTACGCTTTCTAGAGATACTAGTCATTCATATGACTTATTCGAAAACCAAACATTGATTGAAGCTATTTTGAGAAATCTTAGATGAAATTTGAAAAAATGCTTATCATATTGCATCTTCTCTCCCTTCCCTTCTTGTCTGTCAGAATAAAATCAATTACTAATGATTACAGGATAGTAAAGATGGCGCAATATGAAATCTATCAAAAGTTCTATCGAAAATTGTAATGCAAAAAGAAATTTTTAAAAAATACTGCGATTCAAAAAAATTCGGAAAAATCTCAAGAATTCGGATGAATTCGGAAAGTCGGAAAGCAGTCTGAAAAACTTAGAAAATTCGGAAATTTCCGAAAAATTCGGATGATCTGGCAACCCTGCCTGTACTCCCCCTCGGGAAAAAGTCAAGTCTCGTAAAATTTTTCCACTTTTTTGACAAAATATAGGAAAAATAGGAAAATCAATCGAAATATAGGACAAAATATAGGATTTTTCAAAAAAATAGGAATTATAGGATGAATCGGAGCCCAGCGTAAATGATCCAAAATTTCTTGTGTTGCTCTTAAGAGCTTTATTTAAAACGAGAGAACATCCTAATCAAACTCTTCATTCTTAAACACTAAACAAACAATCAACAGGAA